CATAATAGGAAGCGTTAAATTGAAGACAATGATGAAAGTACGATCTTCGTTAAAGCTGAGATGCGCCAAGTGTAAAGTCGTTCGCCGTTCGAACAAGATATATGTCTTGTGTCAAAACCCGAAACACAAGCAAAGGCAAGGATAGCTCTTGTGGTATTTTACCATATAAAAAAGAACGCTTTATGTGAAATGAGACGTTACCCAATGCTGCGTGACAAGGGAGGAGCTTCTAAACCCTTTGTGCCCCAACCGTTTAAGTCTAACCTGATGGCCCGTTTCGGAAAAACAACTAGCAAGATAGCAGTTGTATATGTTTACGTCACCCGTCAAAATGTGATTCTGACGTTAGTGGATTTGAAAAGTCGAAAAGGATGGCTAGACACTATTGATCGAAAACGCAGTTTTCTTGTTCGAACTGTAGCGTGTGTTTCTTCGGGACAATGTGGATTTCGAGGAAAGAGAAAAACGGCACCCTTTGCCATAAATTTGACTACCAAAAAACTGTTGAAATCGGCCTCGGATCTGGGCTATACGCACTTACGCTTGGTTCTTAGGGGGAATGGGTATAATCGAGAAACCATTTTGAAGACATTTCTGCGCGCAAAAACCAAACAACATAGAATTCCCATTTTGTCTGTGACAGACGTGACTTTAGCTCCGCACAATGGGTGCCGGCCTAAGAATAGAAAAAGAAGGTAGTTGAAACGAATGCAAGCTAGCTTTAAAAAACAAACCTTTAGATAGCTTACTGTGGCAAAACGAAATCTTCACCCCCAATGGTTTCCTCAAACGCAAGTATTTTGCGATGGCGTGCTGGTTATGGTGACTGCAGCAACCAAGGAAAGGCTAACTGTAGACACCTGGTCTGGCAACCATCCCGCATACAAAAGTCAGGATGGTATTAGTGTGCAAAAAAATCCTAACGTTCAGAGCTTTTTGAATCGGAGAGCCGGATACTAATGGTTATTGTGTCTAAAGGACTTCCACTTAGCGCTTCTACTTGGCCCAGCACACATGTTGCGTATCCACCCGCAGGCCGTCACGTCCCACCACCAGGGAGGCTGTCTTTCTGTTCTCTATTGTCACGCTCCTGAAATTAGTTTTGTCCCTCTCTGCCTAAATGCTGTTCGTCGAACTCTGCTGAGCTTTTCAACACAATTAAAACTTGTTGGGGTAAAAATAAATAGCTCTAGAAACACTTACCCCTGGTGCATGTTCTCGGGGTGCCGGGATAGTTATTTAGATTTAATAAGCCGACTTCAACGACTATCGGTCCGCATTCGAGAAACTTCTCTGTGCTACGTTCTTCAGTTAAAAAGTTCAGGGCCTCTAGTGGTGGTAGCCGGTCATATGATCACGCCCCCCACTCTGGAAATCCTTACACCTAACAAATACCTGACTAGTTTGGCTGCTAAGTGCGCGCTAGACATGGAGCTAATTTTTTCTAGCTACGTTTTAGCTGTCCCGGTCTCTTATTGGGAAAAAACTACAGATTCCCACGCGTCACCTTGTGGGCCTTTTTCTAGTTCTCACGTAACTTGCTCTTTTTACGGGTTTCGTCTAAATCTGCTGCCACGAAAAGAGTCTCACGAGCTGGCTATATTTGAAGTTCTTGGCCCTGCCGCTTATGGATCCTGGAGTGTATTAGCAACTATTTGTTTAAAGCTTTTTCGTAACTTTAAAGGGATATCCAGAGTAGTGTTGACTGACACTTAGGTATAGTATTGAGTTCGCTAATTATTTTGAAAATTTATCACATAGATGCGGAAGGGATGAAATTAGGCCGCTTAGCTAGCGTAATAAAAAAAACTGTTCTCTTTCATATAACGACTGCGACCGACCGCCCCTACAAATCTGTTCCCAACTACTTGATAGTTGTAAGCAACTGTTCGAAGATTTTGACTTCTCCAAACAGAATACGAAATAAGAAGTATTTTTTCCATTCCGGCTGCCCTGGGGGACTCAGAACTTTATCGTGGGGAGCGCTTAACTTGACCAACCCAGAAAAAGTAGTAGAACTAGCTTTGCGCCGAATGTTGCCTAGCACAGTTCACTCTAAGAACATTTTGAGAAAGGTCCGCTTTCATCGCCATGAGTACATGGAAAGAGAATCTTTGCGTATTATCAGACTACGCTAAGTTTTCGTACTCTGGTTGTGGGCCAAGAGAAATACTTGTGATTTTGTGGTATTTTACTTGTTTCCGGAGACGTCAGAATGTATGCCCACTCTACGACAAATCATTAGGAACGGGCGAGTCAAAATTCCTAAGCGACGACGCACCTTAGCCTTAGTTGAATCTCCTCAAAGGCAAGGAGTTTGCTTCAAAGTTTATACTATGACTCCTAAGAAACCTAACTCCGCTTTAAGAAAAGTGGTGCGCGTCCGATTATCCTCGAGATACGATGTTATTGCTCACATACCAGGGGAGGGCTACGCTGTACAGGACCACAATCTAGTCTTAGTCCGAGGGGGTCGAGTAAAGGATCTGCCTGGAGTAAGATTCAAAATTGTCAGGGGAGCACGAGAGGCTGTAGGAGTGACGAATAGAAAAAATGGCAGATCAAAGTACGGTGTGAAGAAATCTTTTTAGCATATACAAATGACTCGAGTCTCTAAACCAAAACAGCACCCTATTTTCAAAAGTGCGCTGGTGGCTATGCTGGTGGCACGCATACAAAAATCAGGGAAAAGAAGCGTAGCAGAGGGCTTAATCCTACGTACTATGAATTACGTCGAACAGAAAGCAAACAAGCCGGCTCTGATGGTTCTGGAGCTAGCTGTAAAGAAGCTCATGCCGGAAGTGTCTTTAGTTTCGCAGCGGGTCGGTGCCTCAGTGTATCAAATTCCGCGTTCTATTCTGACTAGTGCGTCCATTCCACAGGCCATAAAATGGCTAGTCGACTCGGCGAAGGCTAAGAAAACGAACCGAATCTCCGAGGCCTTGGCATTAGAGATTCTAGACGCTTTTAATGGCCAGGGAACGGCCGTTGCTAAGCTTCAGCAAAATAAACGTATGGCTGCAGCCAATTTGGTTTATGCACATTTAGACAGAGGTCAGCAAAAACGCACCAGCCGTGTGGGACGGAAAATATTTCGATCACGCGCCGAGTCTAAGAAAAAACGGGCGATGAACGCTTTGTCTAGATTACAGAGACACTACCGACAAGTAGATCGGTCAGTAAACAAGAGCCATGCCTTCCAAGCTGAATACCAAAGTCACCTATGGTATGCCAATCCAGAACGCTTATAAGGCTAGCTTTCTAGGTAAAAAGTATCTGATATCAATTAACTAACACTTTCATGGCGAGAGAAATTTTTGAAAGAGGCAAGCCTCACGTGAACGTGGGAACTATTGGCCATGTAGACCATGGTAAAACCACACTAACTGCGGCTATCACATCTGTACTGGCGGTCACCTCAGGCGGAAAAGCTAAAAAGTACGACGAGATTGATGCGGCGCCGGAAGAAAAGGCCCGAGGAATTACCATTAATAGTGCCCACGTCGAGTACGAGACATCTAAGAGACATTATGCTCATGTAGACTGTCCTGGTCACGCTGATTATGTCAAAAACATGATTACGGGCGCAGCTCAAATGGATGGAGCGATCTTGGTAGTTTCGGCGGCAGACGGCCCGATGCCCCAGACCAGAGAGCATATTCTACTCTCTCGTCAGGTCGGTGTTCCCAATATTGTTGTTTTCTTAAACAAAGAGGATCAAGTAGATGATCCTGAGCTTTTAGAATTAGTGGAATTAGAGGTTAGAGAGATGCTAAGTAGCTATGGATTTCCAGGCGATGATATACCGTGTATTTCAGGATCTGCGCTTCAGGCTTTAGAGACGGTCCAAAAGAACCCCGGCATTAAACGAGGGGACAATGACTGGGTGGATAAGATTTTAGCTTTGATGGACGCTGTAGATGATTATATTCCAACACCAGAAAGAGAGGTAGACAAACCGTTCTTGATGGCCGTGGAAGATGTTTTCTCTATTACAGGTCGAGGAACGGTCGCTACGGGTCGAGTAGAACGAGGCAAAGTGAAGGTTGGTGAAACGATTGAAATTGTCGGGTTGAAACCTACACGCTCTTCAACTGTAACGGGTATAGAGATGTTTCAGAAAACTTTAGAAGAAGGAGTGGCAGGTGATAATATTGGCGTCCTTCTTCGGGGAATTCAAAAGACTGACATCTTAAGGGGAATGGTGCTAGCAGCGCCAGGGAGCATTACTCCTCATACAGAGTTTCAGGCGGAAGTTTACATTTTAACACCAGATGAAGGTGGGCGCCACAAGCCTTTTTTTGCAGGATACCGACCACAGTTCTACGTAAGAACTACAGACGTTACTGGTTCTATCACTGCCATTAAAAATGTTTCTGAAGACGGGACGGAGGAAGATATTTCTATGGTTATGCCAGGAGACAAAGTGACCATTGAAGCTAGCTTAATTTATCCAATCGCGGTAGAAGAAGGTATGAGATTTGCCATCCGTGAAGGCGGGAGGACCGTTGGAGCTGGATTGGTAGTCAAAATAGTTAAGTAGTTGAAAAATCGGCTAAGAGGTGGTATAAAAGAGGTTGTGTCTCAAGACGGAACGAATAGGAGACGGCTCCCAAACTTATGAAAGAAACCATTATTAAAACTCAGGGAACTGGAGGATGGCTGAGGACAGGGGGTGAAGAAGAGCGCTACGTCATAACTTGGGCTAGCCCGAGGACGCAACTTTTCGAGTTGCCCACGGGAGGATGTGAATTTATGCGACAGGGCAAAAATCTTATTACATTTGCCCGAAAAGAACAGTGCATTTCTATAGGAAAACAGTTAAGGACTAATTTTAAGATAAATGACTACAAGATTTTTCGGGTGCTTCCCAACGGTCAGGTTGTTCTGCTTCATCCAAAAGACGGGGTCTTCCCGGAAAAGGTTAACACTGGGCGAGTTTTAGTTGGTGCCATGGAAGCAAACATAGGCAAATTTAAGGACTAATAAAAATGCAAATTGGGCAGGTGGCGAAACGGTAAACGCACCACATTCAAAATGTGGCGAGCAACGCTCTTAAGGGTTCGATTCCCTTCCTGCCTAGTTGGTTTAGATTTAATGTCAACCTGGGGCGGAAGGGATCGAACCTTCGCATAACGGAGTCAAAGTCCGTTGCCTTACCACTTGGCTACGCCCCATATCCTGTTACATATCCCGTCTATTCTATAACTAGTGTTTTCTGCTGGTCTGGCAACTGCAAGCGCGCCGAGATAGCTCAGTTGGTAGAGCAGTGGATTGAAGATCCTCGAGTCACCAGTTCAAGTCTGGTTCTCGGCAAAAAGTACATTTAAACAGGGCTTATTTGTATAATGTTTCCTGTCTTACCGGGGACGCTACCTTGTAGCCACAATAGACTATGACGCACATCTAGCTTAAGTGGTCGCACTCTATTGTATTTTCGTCGAGAGGTTTTCCACCTTCCGGGCATCTTCTTTCTTGGATAGACACGAGACGGGAAGGTTCCTGCCCCTGCCGATCCAGGTGCTCGGTGGTGTTTAGATCCTCTAGTCATAGGTCCTCTACTAAATCCATAGCGGGATACTACACCTGCAAATCCGTGGCCTTTGCCTACTCCTCGTATACACACTAGGCGAGGTCCTGTGGGAAGCAGAGCAGATTCCGAAGAAGGTGTCCAGACGGGTACTTGCTCGCTTGACCGCAGAGGCTCCTGACGAGAGGCTCCCTCTCTGGGAACTTGAAAGACAGGGCCAGACTCTTGAAAGCGCCTAGGCACGAGCTCTGTGATGTCTGAGATCTGACCCAGAAGCATAGGCTCATTCTTTCTAGTAGCGAGGGTTAGCGATTGGACCGTTTCGCTGGGTTTAGAACAAAATTGTGTGTGTTTCCGGCGCCTCGACGCAGCCAGGCCAGTCTGCAAATTGATGGTAACTTGAACTGAAGGTCGTAGACTGACCATACTTACTAATTTCTGCGTAGAGCCCAGGGTATCTAAGCTCAACACTGAAACTTTTGTTCCCAGAAAATTTCTTGCCATATGGCTCTATAAAATGTCTAAGACTTTCCATTAATCACCAGACACTGCATAAGTCTTAAACTAATATCCAATTTTTGCTTTCCAAAAAACCGAGAGTCGAGTTACTCAGGCGCAGGGAAATAGTAGCAGATATTTGTCGGGAGGCGTCGCGCCGTACCTTAATTAAGTAACTCGTTTTAGGCTTTTTAAAGGAAGTAATCGCTCCCGATAGCGCTTGGACTCTAGCTTTGTTGTTTTCCTGAACGACTGAAGCCAGAACAACATTCCTGTTTAATAGTTTTTCTGGTAAGGGCTTCAAATGGAGCGAAAGCGACTTTCCTGCCCTGACTTTAGATTCTTTAAATGGTCGAGTTTTTCTGTATTGGTTGAGAGCCATATATGGCGTGCTAGGCCTCAAAAAAGTCTCACCGTACAATTAAATCATGATAAAGCCTAAAAAACTCTTCTTTGTGCAGCAGTTTTTCTTCTTCTGGCGTAAGCAGCGCGTGAAACCCTTCTGCGCCTTGGTTTTACTGCTTGTAAAGCTTTACTTTGATTGGTCAAGATTAGTAACTGTCGAAGGCGCTTCGCGTGTCTAGTTAGAATTTTTTGTTCTTTAATCCTTAGCCGAGTTAAACGTCTTGGTCTGATTCTTTGATAGCGGTCTAGAAACCACGAGGAAAAAACGACATTCGTCGCGTCTGAATCTAATATTTGATACAGAACGCGTGCGTCTCTAACAGGAGAAACTTTACCTATCACTGGCGAGCGTTGTCTTTCCTCTCTAAAGCTAAAGCGCGGACGATTCTGGTCGAATAACGACTTTATCGAATCCATCAGGGACTGCGAAGAGCTTTGTTTGTCATCTTTCAGGCTGTTCGATTCGTCCGCGGTAGTCACGTAACTATGGAAACTTCGTTTGGAGCTCTCGGAAACTTTATAAGTCATTTTTTGAGAAAAGTAACTTCATAGTAATTTTGACGACTCTGCGAGTTATGGGTCAATCTTAGCCCAGACTTTCCTCTACCTTTAAGGCTAGTAAAAAACTAGTCTCTACCCCAAACTCAAGGGGCAGCTGTTCACACACTTCCTCGCAAAACCCACTTACCAGCAGGCCAATGCAGTACTCCTCGGGCAAGCCACGTTGACGCAGGTAAAATAGTTGATCTTGATTAATAGGCTGAACAGTTGCTTCGTGTTCCACATGGCACTTATTGGTCGAAGCGATGATGTACGGAAAGGTACAAGTCAATGAATCTGGGCCCAGTAAAATAGAATCACATTTCGTGAAATTTTGAGCCTGATAGGCGCGAGGCCCGATTTCCACGCTTCCCCGGTAGATGTTTTTTGATAAGCCTGTAGAAATACTTTTGGATATAATTCTACTTTTACTTCCGGTTCCAATATGGATCATTTTAGTTCCTGTATCAGCTTGCTGGAGGCTGTTAGTAAAACTAACGGAGTAGAACTCCCCTTGAGAGTTTTCTCCCATAAGTATGCAACTTGGATATTTCCATGTAATAGCAGAGCCCATTTCAACTTGAGCCCAAGAGATTTTGGCTTGTGATCCTACGCACATCCCTCTTTTAGTGACCAAATTGTAAAGCCCGCCCTCTCCGTTTTCATCTCCTGTGTACCAATTTTGAACCGTGGAATATTTAATCTCGGCTCCCGCTTCAGCTAGGAGTTCTACTACCGCTGCATGGAATTGATTATCGTCGTACTTAATAGCTGTGCAACCCTCGAGATAACTGACATAGGAGCCCGTCTCAGCGACGACTAAAGTGCGCTCGAACTGCCCTGAAGTTTCATCTTCTATGCGAAAATAGGTGGATAACTCTACATCGCACTTAGTGTCTTTGGGAATAAAACAAAACGAGCCGTCGCTGAAGATAGCGGAGTTAAGAGCTGCGTAGAAGTTGTCAGCTACTGGAACCACTTTTCCCAAGTACTTTTGCACAAGCCACGGATATTGAACAATAGCCTGTGTCAGTGAACAGAAAATGATGCCGGATTTCATAAGCTGAAGCTTTAGCGTAGCTAAGACCGACACACTGCCCACTACGGTATCAACGGCTACGGGTTTCCTATCTCCTTGAGTAGCTGCCGGTAGATTCAGTTGATTCACCGTATCTTCTAGTTTAGATCTAGTTAAGGAGTCTTGTGATGGAACAGAGTAAAAAATCTGTAGGTTACATTCTGGTGCCGGAGGGGCGAACAGGCTCCATTTTGGGATGTTTAATTTCTGCCACCACGTGAAGGCTCGCTCTCTAAACAGCCTGATTTGGATGGGTTCCCGCCTTAAGCGAGAAACGCGACGGATCAAGTCTGTGCTCAGTCCCTGGTGTAACCGCGAATGGCTTGACAGTCCATTGAGGCTAGTTCCGTACTCATATTGAACATATTGAAAAGGAGCATTAAGGGCTTGAGTTAGAGATTGTGTGGGACTTGGCAGAGTATAGGGAGCAAAAGAGCTGTTCATGTTCCTCTTGGCCTTAATAGGAACGCTCTTTCCCAAGCTAGCCAACAGCTTTCTCTCTTACAAACATAGATTGGGTAAGAATAATTCAAGCCTAGGTGTTTAAGTCATATAGTCCTTAGTTAGTTTCTAGATAATAATAAAAATTATGCTAAATCTACAGAAGCTAGATCTAGAGGGAAGTTGTGCGCGTTACGCTCATGCATTACTTCCATACCAAGGTCAGCACGGTTTAGTACATCAGCCCATGTGTTAATTACACGTCCTTCACTATCCACAACTGACTGGTTGAAGTTGAATCCGTTTAGGTTGAATGCCATAGTGCTAATTCCCATAGCAGTTAGCCAAATACCTACAACTGGCCATACAGCAAGGAAGAAGTGTAGGGCACGAGAGTTGTTGAAGCTAGCGTATTGGAAGATTAGACGTCCAAAGTATCCGTGAGCCGCAACGATGTTGTACGTTTCTTCTTCTTGTCCTAGACGGTATCCGTAGTTTGTTGACTCTTCTTCAGTTGTTTCACGGATTAAGCTAGAAGTTACTAGAGACCCGTGCATTGCGCTGAATAGAGATCCTCCGAATACACCTGCTACACCAGCCATATGGAATGGGTGCATTAGGATGTTGTGCTCAGCTTGGAAAACAAGCATGAAGTTGAATGTTCCAGAAATTCCAAGAGGCATTCCGTCCGAGAAGCTTCCTTGTCCAATAGGGTAAACTAGGAACACCGCTGAAGCAGCAGCAACTGGAGCTGAGAACGCCACGAAGATCCATGGACGCATACCTAGACGGTAGCTTAGTTCCCACTCACGCCCCATGTATGAAGCTACACCTAGTAGGAAGTGTAGAACTACTAGTTGGTAAGGACCACCGTTGTATAGCCACTCCTCGATAGAAGCCGCTTCCCAAATTGGGTATAGGTGAACACCAATTGCGTTTGAGCTTGGGATAACAGCACCAGAGATGATGTTGTTTCCGTAAAGAAGTGATCCAGCAACTGGCTCACGAATTCCATCGATGTCCACTGGAGGAGCTGCGATGAAAGCAACGATGAAGCAAGTTGTAGCAGTTAATAGACAAGGAATCATTACTACACCAAACCATCCAATGTATAGACGATTCTCAGTGCTAGTTACCCATGCCGCGAAACGATTCCAAAGCATAGAAGCACCAGACAGTTTTTGGTTGTTAACGCTTACTGAATTACGAGTAGCCATTAGGATTGACCTATGGAGCTTTGTCATACCAGCGGGTGCCTCAAGCGCAAAAACTCATATTTACTCTGAAAAAAAAGCTCTTTACTCGACAGGAGAGTTTGTCTACTCCCCATCCGCGATATTTTAAGTCGCAGGTCCCTGGAGCTTTGCTACCTGCAAGCGGGATCGTTCGTGCCAGCACGTCTCAGCGGGTAACGCGGCTCGAACGCGCGACCCCAACCTTGGCAAGGTTGTGCTCTACCACTGAGCTATACCCGCAGCTTCTTGAGAATCTGCTCTTTCACGCCCTACAAACGCTAATAAGAACTCGAGACTGACGGGACTCGAACCCGCAACCTCCACCGTGACAGGGTGGCATTCTAACCATTGAACTACAGTCCCCTGAGGAGAGAGGGGGATTTGAACCCCCGGCACGTGAATACGTGCTACAGATTAGCAATCTGCCGCTTTCGACCACTCAGCCATCTCTCCACCCTCGTGACTCTGGCAGGATTTGAACCTGCGGCCTTGGGCTTATGAGTCCCGCGCTCTGACCTACTGAGCTACAGAGCCAACTATGTACGAGTTTTCTGAGCCGAATCGGATTTGAACCGATGAAGGCGTAGCCAACGGATTTACAATCCGCCCCCATTGACCACTCGGGCACCGACTCATCTCAAAGATGTATGTTCAGAAAATAGCCGTTTCGTTAGATGAACCCAAACCGCCTCATGCCAACGTATAAAATTAAAGCCAATGCTGTAGATAAAATAACCAGGATTAGTGTATACAGAAGAATAACCATACGACCTTCCTAGAGAGTTCTTGGACTTCACGCCGAAGTAGGGCTTAGGCTGGGACCGGGAGCTATTTCCGTTCCCGAGATAGTCCCTATTTTATAGACACGCGGTTTTGGATCTGTTCACGTTGTTAAGCTTAAGCTTTGACAGCTCGTTTTTTCAGTTCTTCTTGACGTTTGCGAGCTTCTTCTTTAATAGTCTGATCTTTTTCCTTAGCTTCCGCTAGGCCCCCCACCAAATAAAAAGCTTCTTCTTCTAGTTGGTCCACTTGGCCTTGAAGTATTTCCGTGAATCCCTCAATGGCTTCTTTTAAGGAGACATATTTACCTGGCGATCCTGTAAACACCTCTGCGACGTAGAAAGGCTGCGATAAGAAACGTTCTATCTTTCTTGCACGAGAAACTACTAACCGGTCTTCCTGCGAAAGCTCATCCAGCCCTAGGATGGCAATCAAATCTTGCAATTCTTTATATTGTTGCAGGATTTTACGAACACTCTGAGCTGTGTCATAATGTGCCTCGCCTACGATCTCTGGCTGCAAAACCGTCGAGTTGGACTCTAGTGGATCAATAGCAGGATAAATTCCTTTAGCTGCTAGTTGTCTAGACAACACAGTAGTGGCATCTAAGTGAGAGAAGGTCGTGGCCGTGGCAGGGTCCGTCAAGTCATCTGCAGGTACGTAAATAGCTTGAATCGATGTAATAGAACCTGTCTTGGTAGTAGTGATGCGCTCCTGTAAGTAGCCCATCTCTGTAGCCAGAGTTGGTTGGTACCCCACCGCCGAAGGCATTCTGCCCAGAAGAGCCGATACCTCAGAACCTGCTTGAACGAAACGGAAAATATTGTCCACGAATAGAAGAACGTCCTGTTTTCTTTCGTCTCGGAAAAATTCGGATATGGTCAGTGCAGTTAAAGCTACTCGCATTCGTGCGCCGGGAGGCTCATTCATTTGTCCATACACTAAAGCTACTTGGCTATAAGGTGGGTACTGGGCGTCGATAACCCCTGCTTCTCTCATTTCTTTGTACAAGTCAAATCCTTCTCGTGTACGCTCGCCCACCCCGGCGAAGACTGAGACGCCACCATGAAATTTAGCAATATTATTGATCAGTTCCATAATCAACACGGTTTTACCCACTCCCGCTCCGCCAAACAGTCCCACTTTTCCACCTCGACGATAAGGAGTCAAGAGATCTAGTACTTTAATGCCAGTTTCCAGAACAGATGGTTCCACCACCAGGTCTGCAAGGGTCGGAGCTGTGCTGTGAATAGGACGCCGCTCGTAAAGTTCTAATTTTTGCGACAAGTTTTGCAGAGGGTTGGAGCCTTCTTTAACGTCTGACTTTTCTAGTAAAAACCGCCACACGGGGCCCAGTCGATCTGTAGGCAGACCCAAAACGTTAATGATTCGACCTAACGTACACTCTCCTACAGGTGAATAGATAGGCGCAGTGGTAGATAGAACTCGGGCTCCGCGTCTGATACCTTGGCTATCCCCCATCCCCACTGATCTAACTTTGTAGTTTCCCAGTAAACACTGCACCTCACAAGCTAAAGCTACTTTACCTGGTGGCAAGCATTGTCTTCCTATCAAAACGTTCCAAGAAGTAGCAGGGCGAACTCTGCACACTAGAAGCGTTTCGTTAACTTTGGGAATGTTTTTCTTGGGCGGGAGAAAACCAACATCAATTACTGGGCCGACCACTTGAACGACACGTCCCTGGGGAAGAGAAGATGGTACAGCAGTTGTGACTGAGCTCGCTTTGTCACTCATGGGACATTTAATCGACCTTATCGTATTCTTGTCACTTTATCTGGCTACCTTTTATTAATCACATACTGGAGGCCCTGAAGGCCAAAGGGAGTCACCAACTTATTCATATTTCTGTACCCGAGTGGGTTCGAACCACTGATGCTTATAAGAGAATGGATTATGAGTCCATCGCTTTCGACCGCTCAGCCACGGGTACTCTAGTAGTCATGTTTACTGCCGTGCTTCACTTTATTGACCTAAGATGCGTGGCGGCTCTCTGAAGAACACGGCTAAGAAAAGCACCAGAAGGGTGCTCAGTAGTAACAAGCTATAGACTGCAGCCTCCATCTGTGTTTATTTGTCTAAGTGTATCGAGCTTGGCTTCTCACCGGACCCCTAATGTCGGTCTATCTTTTTCTATTTTTTGGTAAAATCTTTTTTTGGACCCGCTGTGGTTCTCCAGGTTAGATCGATGACCCTAGCCCCGAGTAAGAACCATAGATAAACAAGCCCAAAAGCGTTAAAACGGCCATACCCCCTATACAAGCAATTAACCATA